AGAGGTTTTAGGTTCACAGCAAAACTGAACAGAAAATACAGAATTGTACCATATACCCCTGCCCCTTCCTTGTATTACCACCTCCTCCATTATCACCATCTCCAGTCAGAGCAGCACATTTGTTACCATCAATGAACCTACACTGAAACATCATTATCTCCCAAAGCACATAATTTACGTTAGGGTTCACCTTTGGTGTGGTGCATTCTACGGGTTTTGACAACTGTATAATAACATGCATCCACTATTATAGCATCATACATAGTACTTCACTGCCCTAGAAAATTCTCTGTGCTCCACCTATTCATCCCCCACTCCCCTTAACCCCTAGTAACTACTGATCTTTTTTACAATTTCCATAGTTTGGCCTTTTTCAGAATGTCATACAGTGGGATCATACAGTATGAAGCTGAAAATTGTGCGAATCAAAAGGTAGTAACTTGTGTCAAACCCTGACAAATGGAGCCAGGGAAAGCCACGAAAAAGGGGTTCTTATGCACACATGTCTGATAACAGAATCATCACAAAAATCTCTACAAAAATGACAAACTTGCATGAAGGCCACTGCAAACTTACACACACACACACAAATACTTCTGGCCAGCAAATCCCTGTCCAACCTTGGACCAACACCACCCTTGTTATTGATCTTTGTATCCAAGGATAATTATCTCAAAACAACTTTTTAATCTGCCTCATTTTGTCTTTAAAAACTCTTGACTTCCTGGCCGGGCTCGGTGGCTCACCCAGCACTTTGGGAGGTCAAGGTGGGCGGATCATGAGGTCACAAGATCGAGACCATCCTGGCCATGGTGAAACCCCGTCTCTATTAAAATACAAAAAAAATTAGCCAGGCATGGTGGCGTGTGCCTACAGTCCCAGCTACTCAGGAGACTGAGGCAGAGGAATCGCTTGAATCTGGGAGATGGAGGTTGCAGTGAGCCAAGATTCTGCCACTGCAGTCCAGCCTGGTGAAAGAGCAAGTCTCCGTTTGAAACAAACAAACAAAAAACTCTTGTCTTCCTTTACCTCTCTGAATATACCCACACTTATTCTTATTGCAATGCCTAGTCCCAAACATAATTTTCTTTTAGAAAGTCTCCCTCTTTGCCTCTTATTTAGATTTGACACAGCCTTTTCAGATTGACTTCTTTTTCTTAGTAATATACATTTAGGTTTCTTCCATGTCTCTTAATGGCTTGATTGCTTAATTCTTTTTTTTTTTTTTTTTTTTTTTTTTTTG